CCGTTTCCAACCTAGCCTTGACAGAATTCTGCTGTTCTTCTTTCTTCTTTCCTCCTTAGTTACAGACTTGGCCTAGCTGCGCTGAATTCAGCCATTGGAATTTTTACCGGCTGGTCTCGAGATTCCCAGCCCTTTTCTTTGCGTGTTTTAGGCTGTTGCCAATCTTGAGAGCTCGATTCCTTTTCGGAAGTCTTCACTCAGTCTGCTCAATTTGCATTTACTTGAGATTTTTCCGCAGCCTGATTTGAATCTGACCTCTTTTAAAAGGACAAATTATGTTCTTCCTTTGTTTCCAAATTCACACAATTTTTCTTTGAATTTTTTATTCAAAGTTAACTCGAAATCCATTTAGGGTAGCTTAATTGGAATGCCACCATCGTGAAACTCTTGTTCTTGGATTTCCGCAAGTCGATTGTTGAACTCCATCTCCAGGCCGAACACTCGCGGAGCTCGTCGCCGCGTGGCCGCACGGCCGATAAAGAGAGAGGGTAGAGAATGTGGGATTCCCCCCTAAAAAAAAAAAAACTATTAATTCCGAGGCACGTGTAATAATTCAACTTTATTCGATATATTTGACAATATATACTCCCTTCAAAAAGAAAATCCACAACGCCCAGAAAAGTCAAATAATTCTTTAAATTACAGAAGCTATTATTGGCCAAGTCTTTTTAATGAAAAAAAAGTTATTCATCCTAAAATAAAATTTTTAAACTAAATGTTCTGTTTATATATTTGTTATGATAGGTGGAGCTATTCCATCAACAATGTCTAGTTGCAAGTGATCTCAGAATATGTGCTCGAAATATTATTTTTTTCTAACCTGTAATTTAACCATAGTACGAAGTTCACTTTGGCGTCGGTCAAGGAAGCCCACTATCCATCGGTGTACGAAGTTCACTTTGTTTGATGATGTTTTAGCGATGCTTTCTTTTATATAATTAAAGACTATTTCTACAGACCTCTCTTAAATAATGAAATAAAAAGTGTTTAAGTGAAATGAAAAGTCATGGCTCATCAGTGACGAATACTCCCAACGGTTGGCACTGTTAAAATCTGCATCGATTTTGAGCGGTAGATGACTCAAAAATGTGAAGATGATGGTATAAGGTTGTCCCAAAAGTTCGTGTTTTTCTTAAAACGTTGTTTTTCTTATTACTTGGAGAATAATATTATTACTTGACGAATACATAATACAATTACTTTATACAGAATAAAAAGACATTATACATAACGCCGAATAATATTGGTATTTCAATTTTTTGCAAGTGTTTACGAACTTTTGGGACAATCTTGTATTTAAAGCTTACTTTGTTTGGTGGTATAATGTAATTTTGTTACGTACATTATATTGTGTGATTGCCAATGCTTTCGACCGGTCCTGTGACATTGATGTAATCTGACTTGTTTGAAATTATAATCGCCATTTTTTTTTTGCTCCAATGATATAATCACAGAATGAAACCCTTGAATTACGGAATTCTGCATGCGTCAATAGCAAGGTGGGCTAACGAAAGAAGAGAGAGCAAAATTAATTTCCAAAATCTTTAGATTCCAATTAACGGTTGGATGATTTGATGGGAACCCTGATTAACAATATTGAATAGACGCTAAAAAATGTTTGAATTTTCCAAATAGCCGTGCTTTGTATTGAGCATGTTTTTAATGTTTTTTCCCGGTGAATAAATAGGGATTGGTGAGATTTTTGTATCGCTGTTTCAATTAAAGTTCTATCTGACTGAGATGGTAAACACTTGACATTTTAAAATAAAAAGATGAATATTGTCGCTAAACAATGCAGCTTCTATTATACCTTATTGTTTTTGTAATTATGGGGTTTTTGATCCGTGGACAAATAGCTTCTGGCGATGGTTATTAAAACTTCATTGTTTGGTTGCTGGCAGTGTTGACATTGTTCGCGGGGCGTTGATTGGATACCTTGTCGTTTCATATTTTCCATACAATACACACATTTTCCTTCCTTCTACAATTCCTTCATTCAATATGGTAAAAACCTCATTTTTAAAGCGACTATAAAAAAAATCTGTTACAATGGAAATTATTTGATGGAAATCAATTTCTTTCTGAAAATTAGCGTTGAGAGTTTTTTGAAATTATAAGTCAACAAATATATAACTCTAGAGCCTGCGGGTAAATTTTTTGATAATATCAACAAAATATACATTGGTTTGCTGCTTTTCTAAATTGGAATGGCGCTTCTTGGGTAATGACTACCCTTCCATCAAATTACGATGTACTCTGGTCGACTTCCCATCTAAACCACCTTTTTGTCAGTTTGACCGATAACTGCTCTCGTAGGATGTCATGAAACCGAAGCTGACTCTGTGATGAGGGTCATAGCCGCCACAGAACTACTGCCGCGCACGTTTCAGAGAGAGAATATGGTTTCACGGGCTACTGACCAAAGTGTATGATCCTCGAGCCCAGAATAATATGGAGATGAAAAAGGTAATAGCCTACAGCTACTCCCGGTGTTCCCTGGTGGTCACCCTCCCAAGTACTGACCGGGCCCGACGTTGCTTCGGTGATCGGACGAGAACCGGTGTTTTCAATTTAGTATAGCCGTAAGCAGCGCACATTTCATTCCTGAATGATGTTTTGGAAAAGAGAGGCGTCCAGTATTTGGTAATATTGCGTTGATTTTGCTCTATTATTTCGATTAATATGCAAAATAGGTCTTGTTAGTACTCATATTCAACTTATGTATAGTGCAATAATTCCTAAACTGTGATCATATAGATTTCTATATATAAAAATGTTATCCTAAATAGATGATTGTCACGATTCATCACCACATAACTACTGAATTAAGATATTTCACCAGAACGTAGCTGAAGATGTACTTTAACATATAGGCTATCCAAAAACAAAATTTTTCATGTGGTGTCATTTTACAATATAAAAAAAAAAACATTTTCTATAGATTTTTTTACCACTAGAAGCAGTACTGGTACGGTTAATAGATAAATTTGATTGGTTACTATTTTTTCGCACAGACAATGTTTTTTAAACTCATTTAATCAACAAATTTGTATGGCGCCCTTCTAACCAAACGTGGCTAAAATACACCTAGATAAAACGCGGTATAACCTGGGTCTATTTGACTACTATAGGGTAGCAATGAAGAATCTCTAGTTTACTTTTCCGTATATCTTTCAGTTATTTTACAACAGCCTTTTAAAAATGTTAATGTAAAATATTATCATCATATCGCGTCCTCTGTTGTTGATAAAACTTTTGACCTATAAACTGAGAGATAACAAACTGCGTGATTGTCGGATGTATTGTTTACCAAGTGATATAAATGATAATATCATGAGTTCAAATGAAACTTGAGTCATAGCAAACAAATAGAAAAAAATGGAAGTATCATATGATTTTTTTTAGTTTAAAAAATATCACCAACAACTACATATGGCTAATAGCAAAACTTTTGACGCTAACTCTACTAAGAAGATAAAAATTAGGATGGCAAGGCATATCAATGATTGTCAAAGTTTGATAACTCGAATTATTCATCAACAAGGGGGTTTTAAGACAAAGTTATGAGGAATTTGTAAATATCTGAATTGGGGTAAGTGTGAATGTTTGTAATTTTTCACTTTATTAACAGTTGTCGAAACATTTTAATGAGAATCTTTCTCGGTACGTACAAGTGTATGGGTGGAACTGACAAGCGCTGTTGAAACCAACTTGTGTATTCTGATTAGAAGATCTTTGTTGCTATATCAGTAGTAACATGAGGGTAGCCCAGGCTCCTGGAGCGTATCCTTAGATCGCCAACTACCCGGGTGCTATATCATCAGAGCCCGAAGACCCACGTATTTGCGAACTGTGAGGGGAGCCAGCAGAAAAGGAGTATATGCTATTGTGTAAATATGTAAATATATATTACATAACTGTAGGGTTCTCTACCAATTGGTTGCCTCAAATCTTAGTCACCATAAAAAGCCTTTATTTAGACAAATTCAACAAAATTTACAACATACATCAACACCTTATATCTATCCTTTTATTATTTGCATAGTTTTTCTTTTCTCTAATGCAAAATATACATATTTGCATATTGACGGCATTATATTCTTGAAACAAAGAGAACAAATCAGCATATGGAATCATTACAATTACCAACCTTCGTTATGTAATGTGAATAAATGTGCTGCTCTTGTGAGGATATTCCCACGGAAATAAGAATGTATTATAGTTCTTTGTGTTGTGAGACGGACATCACGATGTTTCCAGGCGGATTTGGCCGGAGTAGGGAGTTTTATAATGTTGTTTTACTGATAAATATTCGGAATCCCCAAGTACAGTAGAACCTCCCTGTAAAGGACACCTAATTGCAGAGCTAAGTGCCCTTTAGGGTGAGGTTTCCTCTTACCGGAGAGTGTCAAAATAGTAAAAATGGTAATTTAAAAAATGAAAACTATCCTTTATAAAGTGGTGTCCTCCTACGCGAGTGTCCTCTCTTTGAGGTTTTACTGTACTTCGGTCATTTAAGAATCAACGTTTAGTTAAGTGGATGTTATTTTGATAGGCACTCATGAAAAAAAAAAACTTAAGGAAATAGAAGGTCTTTGATATCCCAGGTCGTCCATTTTTTTTTTTTTAAGAAGACAGAAGCAATTTTGTACACACTTGGTTATCTCGTGTGTGTCTTCAATAAAGGTCACTGTGTATCAAATATCTTCCATAGTTATTGTCTGAACCCCGATATACATCATAAAAGGTGAACTTCCTTAAGTTTTGTCCACGAGTGGATATCAGAAGCCAACTTTCAGGAGATGTCAACATGTGTCCTTCCCGTTTTCTTCTCACATTTCCCTACAATATTCTAAAATTGAAGAATTCTCTTTCTACAAATGAATAAAAAAACAACAGCCAGCCTTAAGCTCTTTTTTTTTAAATTAGTATTATCATCTTGACTAATTAATTCATTTTACTTCCAACTCTTTACGATGTAACATCGAGCGTCAAGCTCACGAGCCACCATGGCGTGGATGTAAGACATCTCTAAATTTTAAAGAATGACCTTTGAAACTAACTGGAAGGTAGATTGCAGCTCAGTGAAGTCTTTATGCCTTGGGCTCTAAGATATTTTGTTATGGGTAATCATTTATTTTACATTTTTATTATCTTTGGGAATGTTGTCTGGCTTCACCCGGAGTTTCTCCAAGTGAATGTCTGATCGAAAAATATTGTTTCAGTTAACAATGTTTACCATCATTAGCCCCCCCCCCCTCTTAACCACCGTTGCTTTCACCAATATCAGTGAGAATTCAACCCCCTCATCAACTTACAAAGTTTGACTTCTATACATAATGATGGAAATTTTTCCGGAGGAATAATCATCTCTATGAAAATAAAAAGGTCATCTCTCCTATTCAAAAAGACTCCAAAACTAGGCGTCATCTATTGATTCGGCAAACTAGCGGACTCGGGTCGGTGTCAAGGCCAATGACGGGAAAAACGACTTTTATTTTCATAGATCATTATCCTCCCGTCAAATTTTTCATCTATATTTTAGAGGTCCGTACGTCTCTTGACCTCACGGACAATACAGCAGCTACATTATTCATTTTGTCTCCTCTCTAATTGTAAATACGCTGCTGTATCACCTCATAAGCATAAATAAATAAATCTATATTTTGGCCATAGATAATAGCCTAGCACCTTTACCAATTAAACACCTCTTTGGCGGATTGTGAAGATTCCATTT